CTCAAAGCTCAAGGTACAACACAACTTTAAGGTTGACTAGTCAAATACTTGTCTTTGAGTATTAAAAATCGGGATTTTAGAAATTAATTCTTCAAATAAAATAGGATTAATTATTCAATTAATCCATGGATTGAATGTGGATTTTTGGGGTGTCACAATGCTTCTTACTACCTATTTGAGCCTTTTACCCTTACATCGAGGTAATTTAAAAATATACAGATAAACTTATTATCACTTAAGAAACTTTGATTTAATACCAAGGCTCTGAGGTAATTAGGATCAATTGGTAAGCCAAAATCCTTGTATCTAGGATCATATGGACCATTCATAACGGACATACACAAGATAATTTTACAATGGGGACATATATACACACACACACACTTTAAAAGAGTTAAAACACATTAAAAGCACCACGGGATAATAAAAAAAAAACTTGAATTTAGGAATTGTAGTCATTGAAAGGATCAGAATGTAATATCAAAGAATGTGAAAAATAATATAATAATATAATAATAAAATACTAATAACAAATTCATTCTTGAAAATCTCAAATTACTTTCTCCCACTTTTACAAACCAAACAAAACTAATATGAGATTTTGAACACATAACTTAAACCAAATGTTCCTTAATCTATTATTATCCCAATTAACTTATTTTAAGTAGGTCATGTCATATTAATTAACAAGCATTCATATTGTGTTGAGACATATGTATTGCAAAATATATCTCTCTGACATGAACATAACATGTTTAATAAACATGTTACAATCCATAAACTTATACAAAAAAACAATTTATTAAACAATGCTATAACATGCATATATCGATTTAACCTAAAAGGTTAAAAAATCTATCATAACATGTTAAATAGATGTTGAACTTACAATGATGGACTGGGACTGCATATTTCCTATTGGCCTCTCCTCATTAGGCCATCGACATTACTTGATTTTTGTGTGATTTTTGAGAAAAATTGAGTGATGTGACAGTGAGAAGGTGAAGAGACAGAACAAGTGAGGACCTCCTGCATTGAGGGGTTCTGATCATGGGCCCCACCAAATTGAATAGCAGCTGGAAAAATCTCACGCGAAAGGCAACATAGCGCCCACATGGGCCTGTTACAGTAGCTTTTTTTTTTCTGATTATAATTATTGTATTAGTTTTTTTTTTTTTTTGAAACGGGAAACTTAATGCATTAAATCTCGAAGCAAAGTGTCTACAAGAAACGGAGGTGGATTATCATACCACTTCCCACAATCTGACCCTGAACAAGCCTCCCTTGCAACAACTTGGGAAGCTGTATTCGCAGACCGTTTTACAAAATGGAATTGGACATCATCTACTGCCATAGCCAATTCTTTAACATCATCATTGAGTAAGCCGAAAGTAGAATTAAACGAATGTTGAACTAGAGAATGAAAGACGGTCTGTGAGTCCATCTCCACATCCACATCCCTCATCCCAGTGTCTCCGAACAAGCTCAAAGCTTCTCTCACAGTTATAGCCTCTGCCTCATTTTACCGTATAAACCCCTTCGATCTGCACGTTCTTGGCAGCCATAAAACCCCCGTCATGATCCCTCAACACCCACCCTATCCCCGTAATACCTGCTGCAGCATTAATCGATACATCTGAATTCAACTTACACCACCCATTTTGCGGCGGTTTCCACCTGCATAACCCATCCACTCATTCATCTACAGGTTCAGGTGTGTTAGTTTATAAACCAAGTATGAAGTAGTGGATGATTTGGGCAAAACTAGTAGATCAGATTAGGAAAATTGTTTTAATGTGAATGGCTATTGTAATTCATTAGTGGCTGGAATTTGTTAATCTATTGCAATTGCTTGTGTTGTATGCGAAAGAAATCAAGGCGAATCCATTCAGAATTTTAAATACACAAGTTTTTCTTCTTTCCTCTTCTAGAATTTTAAATCTTGATCAGTGAGCGGACTCCACCCGTGCGACGATCGTGTGGCCGTCTCATTATTGTCGATTCTCTACTTCTTCGATCTTCCACTGTCAGCTCTCTATTGCTTCGGTCTTCCTTTTCAACTCTTCGTTGCTTCGATCCACCATCGCTAACTCTCCACTGCTTCAATTTTTCATCGTTGACTCTACAACTTTTATGTTTCAGGCCCACTTCTACTACCTGTTTGAGCCTTTTACCCTACATCGAGGTAATTTTAAAACATATATATATATATATATATATATATATATATATATATATATATAAATAAAATTATTACGACTTAAGAAACTTGGATTTAATATCAAGGCTCTGAGGTAATTAACGATCAATTGGTAAGCCAAAATCTTTGTATCTAGGATCATACGGACCATTCATAACGGGCCTACACAAGATAATTTTACAATTGTGAAATATATACACACGCACATTAAAAAAGGTAAAACACAATAAAGACACAATCGGACAATAAAAAACTTGAATTAAAGAACTTGTAGTCATTGAAAGGATCGGAATATGATATCAAAGAATGTGAAAAATAAATTAATATTAATATATAATACTAATAACAAAATCATTCTTAAAAATCTCACATTACTTTTTAGACGCTTGCACTTTTCCAAACCAAATTAAACAAGACTAATATGAGATTTTGAACACACAACTTAAACCAAATGTTCCTTAATCCATTATCCCAATTAACTTATTTATAGTATGGTAGGTCATGTCATATTAATTAACATGCATTATATTCATGTTGTGTTGAGACATATGTATCACAAAATATCTCTTCGACATGAACATTACATGTTTATGTTGCAACCATAAACTTATACAAAAATGTACAATTTGTTAAACAATGTTATATATGTTATAACATGCATAGATCGATTTAACCTAAAAGATTAAAAAGTCTATCATAACATGTTAAATAAATGTTGAACTTACAATGATTTACCAGGACGCCATGCTGGTGAAGCTATGTTTGGAGTGTTTGGAGGTTGAAGTTGAGACTGCATATTTCCTATTGGCCTCTCTTCATTAGGCCATCCACATTAGTAGATTTTAATGTGGTTTTTGAGAAAACTTGAGTGATGTGGCGGTGAGAGTGAATAGAGCGAACATGTGGGGACTATGAGGGGTTTTTTGTCCCTTATCATGGGTACCACCATATTGAATAGCAATCGGAAGAATCTCTCGTGAAAGGCAACATAGCACTCAGCCGTGCGCGTGCAATGCACACGCCCGCTCGACGCGTTACAGTAGCTTCTTTTTTCCTAACATACACCCTTTTTTTTCATATTTTTTCTTTCTTCTCTCTTCTATTTGGCACCTCAAAAATCGATCCAAAAACCTCACTATTGAAGATACCTTTAGCATTAGTTTCAGCCTGTTTTTTTTTTTAAATATATAATATAATATTATAAGCTACTCCTATGGACAGTGCTTAGTGCAAAAATAGTTTTAAATTATTTTTTTAAAAAAAAAAGTTTCTTATCATGTGTATTTGCTTGACATACCCCAGAGCGTGAGGATGTGCCAAGGAGTGTTTGAGAGGATTTTCTCCCACGATTCTCACGACTGCGGCTTGTAGAGTGTAAATTCTCTGACTTATCCTATTTTCTGTCTTTAGATATCTGATGTAGTTTTATGGAAATGAGTGATGTGATGGCCATTTGTACTATAGTGGTATGTATGACATATTAAGTATGTCATTAAGGTGTGTTCATTATTTTTAGATAAAAGATTGATCTGACAATTTGTGGAGTATAAAATTGGTACAGTTTATGAGAATTATGGTATGCAAAGGCCTCTGCAGTGACATGAGCTTATCTTTTATACTACAAATTTGTAACGGTTACAATAATGGCAAACAAAAAGTACATTTTTAATATACTAAATGTAGATTATGTTTGTACTGAATGTACATTATACAATATAATATACACTCCGAACAAAAATAATGTACATCCCCTAAATATAATTTACATTATTTTTGTACTGAATGTACATTATTTGTGTACTGAATATACATTGTTTTACAGTAGACAAAATATGGCCCACACAACTTGTGTGGACCATGGTCCACACAATAATGATTGTACAATAATTGCGCAACGGCCTCCTACGGAGTGGAACGGCTGACTCCTTAGTAACTGTCGTGCGCTCCCCATGATAATTGTGCTAACCCCTCATAACTCATTTGCGGTGCTTCTAATAACTGCTCTCTACTAGGCCGTTACACTAACTGTGTTAATTTCTTTGGCTTGTCCAGATAGACCAATAGCACCAGGTCAAGGGTCTAGTGTCCTGTCCAATTACTCTATCAGTTACGTTTAAATATTCTAAACTAGTTAAATATTTTATTGAGTCCAATTCTTTCAATCATAGCCGGTAAGTGCTGCCATATGTTACCCATGTGTTATATTTTTTCCTTTAAAAAAAATTACGGAGTAAAAAAATAAGTGAAGTTGCGTCGCTTCTTGAAGGAAACTCTAACCCTACTCAAACAATTGATAAATTGATGGAGCTGAGACAATAATTTTCCAATTTTACTGCTAACTTTTTTACCAATTATTATTAATATTATTAATTAGTACTTTTTTTTGCTTTTCTATTATTTGGGCGGAAGTGTTTGAGCGGGAATGCAAGGAATGGAGATTTTGTTTTAATATTGTGTTTGAGCGGGATTGCCGGAAGTCAAGCACGCTTAACCACATCTCTCTATGGTAAGCCACAGCGCCACGTCTAGAATCGAGCAGGGGCTGAACTCGGCCAACCCAGCCGACGCCCAACAAATTTAAATAGGTTTGTTTACATATTAAAATTTAACATTTTGAAATGAAACTATTAGCATAATCATGATCTAGTATCCCAAGTGGCAATCTCTTTCAATATGCTTCATTCTTTCATGGAACACAGGGTTCTCAGCTATAGCTATGGCAGATTTGTTGTATGTCACAGAACAACAAAGCTGGAGGATTTTCAGCTATCCCCAAATCTTGCAGAAGATACAGCAACCATTAGATTTCACAAGATGTGGATGCTAAAGCTCTATACTCAGCTTCAGAAGAACTTCTTGAGATTGTGACTTGCTTTTTGGATTTCCAGGTGATCAGAGAACTGCCAAGGAATATGCAAAAACCAGTAACTGATCTCATGGTGTCTGGACAAGCAACCCAATCTGAATCAGTAAACCCTTTCAGCTGCAAAGATGAAGTTGCTGAGAAGAAAAGGCCTTGTCCTGGGGCTGCTTTGATGTACCTGAGAATTCTATGAGCTGCTTGCATATGTACATTTGTAGGACAATCTAGAAATTGAGATAATTGTTGAGTAGCATAGCTAATGTCAGGTCTTGTTATAGTTAGATACAAAAGTTTTCCCACAAGCCTTCTATATTGAGATATATCTTCAAGTTTTTCATCAGTGTCTCTACTGAACCTTTTTGATGTAACCATGGGAGTTTTTGCAGGCTTGCAATGTATGAAATCTGTTTCTTCAAGAAGCTCCAATGTGTATTTTCTTTGTGTCATGGAAATCCCTGAACTGTTCCTTGCAATCTCCAATCCAAGGAAGAACTTTAGATGCCCTAAATCTTTAATATGAAAGGCATCATCTAAGTGCTTTTTGATCTGTTGAACTTGATTCAAATCAGGACTTGCTATCACAACATCATCAACATAAACAAAGTAGAGCTGCAAAACTGTCTCCATTTCCTCTTAAAAATAGAGAGGGATCAGATAGAGCTTGCCTGAACCCTATGTGTAGAAGTTCTTGAGTGATCAGCTTCACATTCCACTGCCTACTTGCCTGCTTTAAACCATATAGGCTCTTTATTAATCTGCACACCTGACCAGCTTTTTTGAGGAGAGAAACTAGGAGGGAGCTTCGTGTAGACTTCTTCAACAAGCTCCCCATGAAGGAAAGCATTGTTGACATCTAGTTGGTGTAAAGTATAGCCTTTTATTGCAACCACTGCCAATAGCATCCTTATGGTAGTTATCTTGGCAACAGGACTGAAAGTGTCTAAGTAGTCCAGACCAGGGTGTGTGTACCCTTTTGCAACCAATCTAGGTTTGGGCCTTTCTATGGTACCATCAGCTTTGAGTTTAGTCTTGTATACCCATTTACATTCTATGGGTTCCTTATTGGGAGGGAGTTCTGTCAGGACCCTTGTGTTGTTGGCTTGCAGGGCATCAATTTCATCTTGCATAGCCTTTCTCCAACATTCTTTCTTGATAGCTTCATTGTATGTTTTGGGTTCTTTGGCCACCAAAGCATTAACAGTAAATGCCTTGAACTTCTGAGATAGACTGTTATATCTAATCATATACATATATAGATAAACTTATAGATAAAATTCACATAATTAAGTTGATTTATTCCTAATTGTGTTTCATATATATTATAATTCTAAGAATATGAATAATAACTAAGAGAATTATGTTGGAAAAATAGCATTAAAATGGCATAAAATGACATGTTAAGTGGCTATTTTGTGGTACAATTATCAGTGGGGTCCACTTCCGATTTGGATCGGGTGAAAGTGGATTCAGATTCTTCGTAGTGAGACGAAGAGATTGATATATTGTACGCTCAAAACGGATAATGGGTGAATGAGATATTGATTCTCAAAGTAGACCCATTGAGTTGGAAAATGTAAGGGAAAAGTGAGTTTAATCCCACATTGATTTGGAAAGAGGATTTCACCCCCCTTTTATACAAGAGCTTTTTTAGAGCTTGTAGAATTGTATAGCATAGAGGCTCTCTCGCGCGGGGGTGGGGGGGGGGTTGCAAATCAAATTCCAACTAGAGATGACTTCGGAGAGGCTTGATTCAAGGCCGAGCTCGTGTGCGCCGGCACCTACGGGCACGCAATATAATATATATTAGGGCCTTAATTAAGTGGTGCAAGTTGACTAGGCTTATTAAGTGGTGTGGTTGGACTTAATAACTAGTAGTTGTTAGTCAACCACACTCTGTGCCTAATATAATCTTGTATTGATCTATAATCCTGTATTGATGAGATCAACACGGCTACGCTTCCGCTATCATACGAGGTTAGGTTTCTCGCATACTATTGTACATATAGTTAGACCTGGCCCGAGAGCATTAGGCCGAACAGAGAGCAACACGAGAGTTGCTCTCTCTTCCGCTATCATACGAGGTTAGGTTTCTCGCGTACTATTGTACATATAGTTAGACCTGGCCCGAGAGCATTAGGCCGAACAGAGAGCAACACGAGAGTTGCTCTCTCGTGCGCTGGTCGAACAGAGAATAAGCAGCACGAGAGGTGCTCTCGTGTGCGCTGGCCGAGACCAAGCAACACGAGAGTTGCTCTCGTGCGCTGCGGCCTGGCCGAGAGCATGCAGCACGAAAGTTGCTCTCGTGCGCTGCGGCTGAACAGCACTTCGGTCTACCAGAGCTGTTTCTGGACAGTGGAGATTTAATTCATCCGTTACAGGAATTAATCTCTGTATTAATTCATTTTGAATTTTGAATTAAACCTGCACTAATGACCAGCTGTTTCAGATGTTACCAACGTGCCATGAATGCCTACTAAATGCTATTTAGTACTCCAATTCCTATATAAGAAGAGGTAGTAGGAGCAAGTGATTTACTACAAGTGTGGGAAGAACACGAGAGTACACAACACACAAAGATAAGCAATTTTCCTTCTCAAAACCTCTGCTCCTACTCCTTTTCTTGCTACTGTGTTTTGCCCATGCTCTAGTTCGCCGGGTTCGTTCGTTTGGGTGCTCAAACGTCGAACCGTTGTACGTTTTATCCTGGGAAACCTAGGCCACAACGCTCCTAGCACTTTTGGGAGGTGGCAAATAAGGTTTTAAGGAAAGACAGGCACCTTGCCTAACTCGTACATTTCCTTCTTCTTCTCCTTCTTTCTTGTTTTAGGATTATGCTCTAAGCAAAAATCCGTTCTTTCTTGTTGATTTGGAGTTATAATCTGAGGATTATAAGTTCCTTTTGGTTGATACATATTGTTATATCTTTCTCGTAGATATATACGTATATATAACCCTTGGATCCGTTTTATATATATTTGTGTGTATATATATATATTTCGGATATAAATATCCAATAATATTTTATATACTTGTGTGTGTATATATAAATATTATTTTTTGGGATATTAAATCGATTGTGGTTCATTATCACCAACAAATTATACTTAGAAATCAATAAAAAATGTAAATTTAAATTCAATATGAGTAAGTTTAAAATATAATTGGACGCATTTCCTTATTTGATTGTATAATACATTGTATATAAACATAATATTTATTAAAATGTATATAGGAAAATTTTATAATATAATTTTATTAATTATAATTTATATTGATAGGTTTATAATTAAAAAAAAATTACATTTAGAAATTAAAAAAGCATTTAAATTTTGTATGATTAATATAGTGAAGAAGTATATGTATGTATGTATTTAAAAATATTTCTAAATATTTATGAACACATATTTTGTTAATTTTATAATTTCATTTTCTTAATTACATTTCATATTTTATTAATTATAATTTAATGAAATTGCAACGAATATTGCCATGGAAGAAATATTATATTTTGCAATTTCATTAATAATATTAATTATAATTTACCAAATATTGTGACAATTACCATAATAATTTCATTAATTATATTAATTATAATATTTGTTCTCTTCAAATATTGGAATATATTGCCATAAAATTGCCATAATAATTAATGAAATTGTCACAATTTTGAAAGCCCTTCTTCTGTAGTGTTGATTGAATGTATGGTTGTTGTATATAATTCATTAGTGGCTAATTTGTCGGGAATTTTAAAGACACAAGTTTTTCTTTCCTCTTCTAGAATTTCTTTTATATACAGATATAGAATCTTGATCAAGTCCAACGGACTCATCCCGTGCGATGACCGTGCAGCTGTCTCATTGCCGATTCTTTACTTTTTTCTATCTTTCATCGCAGATTCTTTGCTTCATCGATCTTCCATTGCTAGCTCTCTATTGCTTTGATCTTCCTTTTCAACTCTTCGTTGCATTGACCCACCATCACTAACTCTCCACTACGATCGTACGTGCTGCCATCTCATTATGCACCCCTTCCGTGCGAAGATCGTGCGGCTATCTCATCGCCTATTCTATACCTCTTCGATATTTCATCACAGATTCTCTGCTTCTTCCATCTTCTGGTGTCGGCTCTCTATTGCTTCGATCTTCCTTTTCAACTCATCATTGCTTTGATCCACCATCGCTAACTCTCCACTGCTTCAATTTTTCATCGCTGACACTGATCTCTACTACTTTTGTTTTTCGAACCCACTTCTACTACCTATTTGAGCCTTTTACCCCTACATCGGCGTAATTTAAAAATATACAAATAAAATTATTATCACTTAAGAAACTTGGATTTAATACCAAGGCTCTGAGGTACGGTAAAGATCAATTGGTAAGCCAAAATAAAATCCTTGTATCTCGGATCATACGGACCATTCATAACAGGCCTACACAATATAATTTTACAATTGTGAAATATATGCACTAGCACTTTAAAAGATGTATAACGCATTAAAGACAAAGGGGAGTAACGGGCTCCCTTTGTAAATGATGTGGGATCATTTTGATCCTCTCACAAACATAATTGCTTGCCCATCAATGTGGGCAAGTATTGAGAAGTCAAAAGATTCTTATTTAAGAAGCCTTAGCTTTGTCTTCTTATTTTAGTTAACCCAAAATGTATGTGATGTATTAGTTCTTAGCAGTTTGGAGAAAATCACTGAGTTATTATATCTATTTTTATATGACAATTTTATTTAAATTTTGCCGAATTTATCAGTAATCGAATTACAATAATAATAATAATAATTGTTAAGTTTTGGCCTTTTCACTCGTTAGTCCCCGCGTGATGCTTGCACAATTATACACCCGGAATTGCGTATATATATATGTATGTGTGTTTGTATATGTAAAGAGAAGAAAAAGGAGGAGGAGAAGAACACCAAGTTATACTATAACCATCATGTCAGTGTGTCCCTTTCATTCATTTTCACTCACTTTATATAGTGGTCATATACAACCTTTCAAGTACACAACATCAATACTTGATTAAATGATAAGCAAATGAAAGGTCTAAATAGTTTAATGGCCATAAATATAAATATTTACAACACTCCCCCTTGGCCATTAAATAATTATACTCATGCCTCGTTAAAAACCTCGCTAGAAAAACCCTGTGGGAAAAACCTAGTCGAGGAAAAGAGTACATGTAGTATCAATCATGTGTTGCATCGGTTGCCTCGTTAAAAACCTTAGCCTAAGAAAAACCCAGTGGGAAAAAAAAACTTAGCTAAGGGAAAAAGAGTACAACCATAAGCCTTCTCGGTATCATCTTCAGGATTTAAAAGTCTCCTAGACCGAGTTTATCGCTCCCCCTGAAGACAACAGTCTTCCTAGACTCCGCATCCCAATTTTATAAACATACTTCTCAAAAGTGGATGTAGGCAGGGACTTAGTGAACAAATCTGCCAGATTTTCACTAGAGCGAACCTTTTCAATGAGTATTTCACCACTCTTCTGGAGTTCATGTGGGTAAAAGAACTTAGGAGCAATATGTTTAGTAAGACCTCCTTTAACGTACCCGTTACTCATCTGTGCAACACATGCCGCATTGTCCTCATATAGAACAGTCGGGGAATCAACATT